ATTAATTAATCATGGAATCAAAAAATCTTAAAAAAAATGAATTTATTTAAATAATTTTAAGAAACTTAGAAATGTGAAGAACTATTAATAAATTTACAAAATTTCAATTAAATAAAAGATAAGGAGATTTTGATTGAAGATAATTAAGAAAATAATAGTAATAAATAAAAGGAAGTGATCTAAATAGATAGTTAATAGAAATAATTGGAATAATAACTAATGATTGATAAACAAATTGAACTTAAATTAATTGATGATTCTAATTAATAGAGTTATTATTGTGTTGCAATAGTTTTTAATAATACTGGATAAATTATGATTTCATGTAATATAAAGGAGATTTAAATTTGGAATTTTGAATAAGGAAGATTAAAATTAATTAATTCATATTAAGAACATAAAGAGGCTGTTACATGTTTGATATATAGCAAAATGAGAAATAACTTTATTTCTGGTTCTGATGATAATACTATCATCTGTTGGCAATAAATTAATCAAAAAGACTGGAAGTGTTCATAGCCATTCAAATAACATAATTAAACTGTTAATTGTTTGATGTTAAATAAATAGGAGGATCAACTTATTTCAGGAGGTTGTGATTAATTTATAAAAGTTTGGAATGTAGATTTTATTAAGAATGAGCTGAATTTTCAGTACTCATTAGATTAACATAGTAATCAAGTACATTCATTCAGTTTTAATTAATCTGAAACTGTATTTGTATCATGTGGATATACTCATTTTATCATATGGGAGAAAGGAATATAAGGAAAATGGGAATTTAAATATAGAAAAGATGTTTCAGATTATGGACGTAAAATATATTTAATTAATGATCAACAATTACTTTGGGTAACTTTTCTTAAGAATATTGATGATATTTTTGTGTTTGAAATATAGAATGGAGTCTTTGAATAAAATATTAATAAAACAATCAAATTGACTAAGAATAATGAATGTGATGATAATCTTTATTTCCCAATTATTCACAATAAAGATAAAAATATAATATTGGTAAGACATAAACATCATATCTATCTGATTAGACAATTAAATAATGGCACATTTAATATTATTGTAT